GTTCGATCAAGTGAATAGAACCTCCTTGGTATAGCTAGTGCAGTTCATTGACACTTTCTGACTTGTAGGACTACAACATGTAACCTGTATCTAGTTATATTGTGTACTTTGTGTTCCCTCGTGACCTCAATGAAAAGTGGCTAGCAGGCTGATTTCAGTATTTCATGAATGAACACTTCTCAACCAAACAAACAATAAACAAAGAGGTGTTTGTGTGACTGACCTGAGGATGTCACACTTGGCCTGGGCCTCCAGCATCATGTCGACAGGGCAGCTCTGCAGCTCCACAGCCTCGGGACAGGTGTTGTCACCGGTGGACCAGCTGTCTCCGAAGGCCGTGACGTCACCGGTCAGGGTGCCGGACTGCATCATGAAGTCGTCGGTGGGGTCGTGGTTGTTGGGTCCGCACAGACCGCACAGCTGGTTGTGCAGCTCTGGTGTCACGTCAATCTGGTGGGAGGGAAGAGAAGATGAAACAACACTGATCATACATCAGGATCATCAGAAGGAAATCATCTGTGCCAAGAGGTTTTCAGTAACTCAGTAACTACTGATATTGGATGATCTAGCAAAGATAACATTAAATCTGAGTAAAAAATTTGAAAAAAACCCTGTTCTTTCAAACAGTAATACAGTACTGAAAAAGTGCATACCTTACAATCCTGACTGAAAAGTGCATTGCACTTTCTCTTAAGATTAGGTTCTAGTCAGACACCTATCCTAAGAGATATATGTACTACATGGGCCTACCTTATATCCTTATATTAAAATCAACTGTTACTGTAGTCTGTTTACATACCTTGGCCTCATAGCGCTCAGTCCACCTAATGGTGACTCCGATGTTGGTGGTGACGATGATCTCTCCACCGTACTTCTGGATGTGGATGCCGTCGGCAGCAAGAGCCTGGTTGAAGGCATCGATGTTGGTCCAGCTCACGAACCTACAGATAAACACAACAAACAACATGATGCATTTACAAGTTCAATGGAATCGAACACATTAATGATAAGCAGAAGTATATCTAGTCTTAGTACTGGCAGCATCATAATGATTGTAGTTGAGAAAGTATCTGAAAATGTTTTGGATTCAAGAATAAACTCTTGAAAGACATACCTGTCATTGTACTTGAAGTAGTTCATGCGCTCGAAGAAGAAGGTGTGAGCACCGATCTGTACCTCGATACCGCGGCGGCACAGCAGGCGGTTGTCAACACCAGTGCAGTCCAGAACAGCTGCAGAAGGTCAAAGAATCCATCAGGTGTTCAATTATCAAGAGGTTTCCGATAACGATTGTAAAATTTCCTAGCAGAGCAGTTAGACAAGGTTTAGGAGCCTTTACATTCTGAAATTCTGAATGTATCACAAGTACACTCCAACAGACATTGACAAAGGTTACACAACTACACTTTACACTTTAAGATGAGAGTCTTATGAGCTTATACCAGCACATCAAAAGAACTAAGTCATGCACAGTCACGTAATACAAGCCATTCAGATACTGTTATAGAAGGCGAGCGGCCTTACCCATAACCTCGAACAGTCCGCCGGTACAGTCCTTGGCCAGCACGTGGCTGCAGATCGGGTACTCGTACAGGGTGTTGTCGAAGGTCTGGAAGGTCGTGTCCTCGTACATCACGCACTGGTCGTGCTGGACGGGAACGCCCGCGGTGGTCAGACCCACGTCCGCCGGCTTGGTGGTTGTGGCCACGGTAGTTGGCTTAGTGGCAATTGT